TCCACATTCTTTTGAAGCAAGACTGCGCCCAGTCCATAGTCAGAGGCATCGGCCTGGACGATCGTTTCACTTCTCAACTCAAAATGGGAGAGCATTGTCGAATGATTTATCTTAGCCTTTATCGTCATAAAAGCTGCTTGGCACTCCTCTGACCAGACAAATGGGGTATCCCTGCACGAAAGTTGATTTAAAGGTCCCTTCAAACTGTGAAGTCCCTCTATGAACGGCCCGTAGTTACTCACATGACCCATAAAGGATTGTACTTCCTTTACATTCTGTGGGGTTTTTATGCTCTGAAATGCCAGCACTCTCTCGGGGTCCGGTGCTCTTCCGTCTGCATTTATTATGAATCCGAGGTAGTGAATTTCTTTCCGCAAAAATTCGCTTTTTTGCATGTTAATTTTAAATCCATAATTGACGAGGTTCTCCATGACTTTGTCCAGCCTTTCTAGTAATTCTTCCTCCGAGCGACCAACTACTAGAATGTCGTCTAAGTACGCAACCGCTCCCTGCGTATCCGTAAGCATTGTATCCATGACCTGCTGGAAAATGCTTGGAGCCGTTTTAATGCCGTATTTCAGCCGCGTAAACTTGAATAAACCTTTTGGAGTGTTGATCGTCAGTAGCTCCTGTGATTCCTTCTCCACTTCTATCTGTAAATAGGCTTCAGAAAGATCAATTCGTGCAAATGACTTTCCACCATTTAACTTGGCAAAAATTTCCTCCACCGTCGGTAGAGGATGGTGGTACTCCTCCAAAACATCGTTTTATCTCGTCGAATAGTCAGCACACAGCCTCAAGTTCCCATTTGGCTTCCTAACCGCTACAATTGGGCAGCCCATGCGGAGTAATTGGTGGGGTAGATTATACTTTTCTCTTGCAAACGTTCCAACTCTTTCTCCACGTCTTCCTGGATTGCAAACGGAACTCGACGACATTGCCTGAAAACTGGTTTCTTGTTTGGTTTAATGCGTAAAACTGCTTCCGTTTTGGTACATTTCCAGACTGACTTTTCCATCATTTTTGCATACTTCTCCCGCAGATTCTGTTCCGTTTCTTGTACTGCGCAGCAGATTCTATCAAATGGCTGACTACATAACCCCAACTCGGAGATTGCCTTATTTCCCAGGAGGTCGATCGGGCACTCCGATACGAAAACACCTGCTAGACAATTTTTATCCCCAAATGCGATACTAGTTGAAAAACATCCCTTGAATTTCATTTCCGTGCCGTTTGATGCCCTCGCAGTGACAGGAGTTGGGATAAGACTGGGTGCTCCTATCATCTGCCATGTTTCTACCGCTATAATCGTTAGATCAGACGCTGTGTCCACTTGAAGTCTGACGGCTTTCTCATTTATGATCACGGTTAGGCATTTTCGGTGTTCACAGCCTAGAACCTGTGCCTCACCATCAGAAACGGCGTTGCACTGTTTCCTGGGACTTGGCCTGTGGCGAGCGCTAAAGACAGAACCGTCAATCCCAGACTATAAAAATCAGGATAAGACTAGAGTAATGGAAGAATTAATAATCAAAAGTCAAACGACCTGACAATCCCACTCATGCCGAGCGCGTCGCGCCGAGTTGTGTTCATTCCATTTATTTAAACAACCAGTAAGTTCAAGAATGAGGAACAGGTAGGGAAAGGCAAGGTAGTCTGGCGCCTCGGCATAGTACCCCCTAAGAGACCGGAGGCCGGCGAAAACGACGCCGAAGGATGTGTACAGGTCTAAAAGAAATGCGTGACCAATCGATCAGGAAAGTGTACATGACGACCACTACGAGTGATATATACAGGGTCCGTATAAGAGTGAATAAATCTGGTGGCGGAAGTGTTGGAGTTGGTGGTGGCAGTCGGAGATGGCGGACAGGAGGGCAGAGGGAAAATACGGGAGGGTGGAATAGAGGCTCCGTGGGGAGAAGCAGAAGGTTGAGGACCACAGGGCTCATCCGGAGGAGTGTCAGGGACGGCAGCCTTGAGGCGGTCCACACTCACGACGTCTTCACGATTGTCGCGCTGAATGCGGAAAGTCTTCGGCCCGCTAGAGAGCACCCGAAATGGGCCGTCATAGGGCGGTTCCAGAGGCCGGCGGACTCGATCACATCGAAGGTAGACGTGAGAGCACGTTGTCAAGTCCTTCTCGAGATAAGACGGAGAGGCGGAGGACCTGGGAGGAACCGGAGAAAGTGTCCGCATAAACTGCCGGAGGCGATGCAGGAGGTTGGTGGGATCCTCAACTGCACCTTGAGGGCTTGGCAAGATCATCTCACCGGGGAGTCGGACGTTGGAGCCGAACACCAGTTCAGCTGCGGAACAATCAAGGTCCGGCTTCAGAGCGGAGCGGATGCCCAAGAGGACCAGGGGAAGGTGGTCCGTCCAGTTCTCCGGATCGGCCGCGGCGCGTAGGGAGGCCTTCAGGTGGCGATGAAACCGCTTGACCCTCCCGTTAGCAGCCGGGTGATAGGCTGTCGTCCGAATGCGGGTACAGCCTAAAAAGTAGAGTAAAGACTGGAAGAGGTAAGACTCAAATTGGGCACCACGGTCAGTCGTGATTGTGGAGGGTGCACCAAAGATAGCAACCCAACGACTGAGAAAAGCCTTGACCACCGTTGGAGCAGCAATGTCAGGCAGGGGAATTGCTTCAGGCCACCGAGTGAACCGATCCACGCAGGTGAGGAGATAGGAACAACCATTGGACAGAGGCAGGGGGCCTACAATGTCCAGGTGAACGTGGCTGAACCTTGCACCAGGGCGGGCGAAGGTACCAATGGGAGCCTTGTTATGCCGCTGGATCTTGCTCCGTTGACAGGCGATGCAAGTCCGTGTCCATGCCTTGAGATCCTTGTGCATGCCAGGCCAGACGAAGCGGTCGGAAACCAGCTTGTCGGTTGCTCGATTCCCAGGGTGAGATAGATAGTGCAGGGAGGAGAAAACTTTGCGGCGGAGAGATGGAGGCACAAATGGACGATGGGAAGGGGTGGATACGTCGCATAAGATGGTGCCGTTGCCAGTTGTCAGTGGTAGTTCCTGAAGTTGGAGTCCGGAAACATCCTCATCACAGGGTGGACCGACACGGCGTTGTTCAGCGGCCATCTCAGCGGGGTCTATCCCGGGTGAAAGCTGAAGATGAGCAAAAGAGGGCCTGGACAGTGCGTCAGCCACCTCATTCCTTGACCCGTCAATATGGCGGATGTCTGAAGTGAACTGCGAAATGTAGTCCAGGTGACGGATCTCCCGGGGGCTTAGCTTGTCAGAGTGGGAATGCATCGCAAACGTGAGTGGCTTATGATCAGTGAAAATTGTGAACTCTCGACCTTCGAGTAAATGCCGGAAGTGCCTTACGGCAAGATAAGCGGTGATAACTTCACGTCCGAATGTGCTGTAGCGGGTTTCGGCCTTGGATAGTTTCTTGGAGAAGAAAGCCAAAGGCACGGTAGAATCCGGCAGACTTTGTTGAAGAGCCGCGCCAACAGCAACATTGGAGGCATCGACCATCAGAGATATGGGTGAATCAGCATGAAAGTGAGTCAGGAGGGTGGCATCAGCCAGAAGGGCTTTTACCTGCTCAAGTGACGTGAGTGCTGCTGGTGTAAGTTCAAAGGTGCGCTTGGGACCTGAGAGGAGACTGGTCAGAGGTAGGATAGTATCGGCACAGTTCGGGAGAAACCGGCGATAAAAGTTCACCATACCAAGAAACCGTTGCAACTGACGCTTCGAGGTAGGGGGTGGAAAGTCCCGAATGGCGGTAACCTTTCAGGGAAGAGGTCGAATGCCGTTTGAGTCTATCAGGTGACCTAAGAACTCAAGAGAAGTGGCTCCTAGGACACATTTGGAAGGACGCAGGGTGACACCAAACTGCTGAAATCGGTCGAAAAGCAGGGTAAGGTGATGGAGATGTTCCTCCACATCTCGACTGGCGACGAGAACATCATCAATATACGCATAAACAAATGGAAGGCCGCGTAAAACACGGTCAATGAAACGTTGGAAAGTTTGTGAGGCATTTCGGAGACCAAATGGCATACGAAGGAACTCAAACAAACCAAAAGGAGTCGTCACTGCCGTTTTGGGAATGTCCTCAGCCGCAATCGGAATTTGATGAAAAGCCTGCACCAAATCGATCTTCGAGAAAATGGTTTTGCCGAAAAGGGCTCCAGCAAAGTCCTGAAGATGAGGAACGGGGTACCGATCGGGCATAGTGATATTGTTTAGGGCTCTATAATCGCCACAAGGACGCCAATCATCCGTATTTGGTTTAGGAACCATGTGCAAAGGAGATGCCCAGGGACTGTCAGACTGTCGAATAATCCCTAGTTGCAGCATGTGGTCAAATTCTGCTTTAGCAGCCGCAAGACGCGCGGGAGCAAGACGGCGGGGACGAGAAAAAACGGGAGGACCAGTCGTTTTTATGTGATGAACAATATTATGGGGAAATGAGGTGTCAGTCTACGAAATGAACAGTCAGGGTTTGGGTCAGGGACGGAGAGCTGGTTAGAAACTGAGGATGGAAGAAATCCTTTGACAGTGATGGTAGTTGCGCGATCATGGAGGCGAAGTTGTCTGCAATCCACCAGAAGGTCAAAGGCGACCAAAAAAATCAGCACCAAGGATAGCAGTGGGAACATCAGCAACCACAAATATCCAGGGGAATAATCGCCGGAGGCCAATATCCAGAGAGAGGGATCGAAATCCAAAGGTTGTAATGGGGGATGAGTTTACGGCCTGAAGGTAAAGACCATGGTTTGGGCTACGTCGGTCGGCTGGCGTGGGAGGGATAATACTAATCTGAGCGCCAGTATCGACTAAAAAATGCCTGCTACTCGTGTTATCACTCACGTAAATTGTGCGACCCGTAGAGTTGCCAGAGAGCTCGGCCGCATTTACTCTCCGGCCGAGGAGTTTCCCTGCGTGGACTTGAAGGAGCAGGGTGGGACACAGCGCCGCGCCTTATCGCCATAGTTGACATGATACCAACATAGGTTGGCGGTCCTGGGGCGAGAGCGGGAACGACGACGGTCACGACAGAAGGAACGTCGAGAGGGACCGGGGGATCGGCGCAGCTGCAAAGCGGCAACAGTCGCTGACAACTGGGCAATCTGCGTCTTAAGTTCAGCAAGGTCAGAGGTGGACACGTTGAGAGGCTGGGACACCTGAGCAATCGTCGGGGATGACAAACGCTCAACCTCCATCATACGGTCAGCCATCTCCGCTAACTTTGATATTTCTAGGTCGTCGGAGCCAGAGGCCAAGATTGTTTGTACAGACGTCGGCAGACGTTCTAAGAACATCTCTTTAAAGAACTTGTCGTCGATTTTCATGTTCCCAACCAGAGAACGCATGCGACGCAAGAGTTCCGACGGCTTGCGATCACCTAAGGCCTCCTCTTTTACTAGTGCGTGATAACGCTGCCGATCGGAGACTGATGTCACGCGAAGAAGTTCAGCCTTTAACTTGGTGTAAGGAGCATCAGTCGGGGGATCTCTCAGAAGCGTCTGCACTTGAGAAAGAATGGTGGGAGGGAGATCCTCGACCAGCTTATAAAACTTGTCGGTTTCACGTGTTATCTTGGCGGAGTGAAAAGTCGCATAAATACGGAAAAAATAAAGCTCTGGCGCATGTTGCCAAAAGTCTGAGAGGGAAGAAACAAGTCCACTGAGAGAAGAAGTGGGATCGTTGGAATTCGTAGAGGACATGATTGTAGAAAGAAAGAAGGCAAACGGGCGGTATGCAAATAGGAAGTCGACTAATTAAAGGCACAAACGTGAACGTCAAAGGGTCACCACTGTGGCGAGCGCTAAAGACAGAACCGTCAATCCCAGACTATAAAAATCAGGATAAGACCAGAGTAATGGAAGAATTAATAATCAAAAGTCAAACGACCTGACAATCCCACTCATGCCGAGCGCGTCGCGCCGAGTTGTGTTCATTCCATTCAGTTAAACAACCAGTAAGTTCAAGAATGAGGAACAGGTAGGGAAAGGCAAGATAGTCTGGCGCCTCGGCACAGGCCGTCCTGCTCTGCAGTACGTCGATTTGTGGCCAAATCTGGAACATTTGAAACACTTCTGAGTTTTATAGGGGCAGTCGACGACATAGTGCCATCCACCGCACTGCCAGCAGGCAGTCTTTGGTCTTCTGGGAAATGTTCCTATCTGTGGCGGCCAGTTTTTTCTAATGTCCAACACCTGTAGCTGTTGACTGTTTGTTTCGCCAATGAACTTTGTATCCTGTTTAATGTTCCTGAGTTTAAAACATTCATCTGCTAAATTCTGTAGAGTCGTGTCACCATCCTGATCCAGTTTGGACAGCAGCCGTGTGCGTATGCCCGCATCTTCCGATAGACTAAGTGATTTTATGAACAACAGGGCCTTAACCTGGTTTGCTGTTGCCTTCTCTAGATCAGCCTGTTGGTACATATCATTTAGTCTGCCTGCCAAATCAAAATAGTCTTCGTCTACCCTCTTCTCCAATTTAAAACATTCAAAACGTCTGTTAAACAATGACTTTGAATAGGTGAATAAAACTTTCAGGTTTCTCACCGTCTCCGTGAATTCGATTTCGGCCGGTTTCTTCGGTAGGACGAATTTGACATACTTCTCGTGTTCCATTCGTCCAAGTTTCAGCAACAGAATTTCCACTTTTTCTCCGTCAGTAAGACTTTTCCCCTCTCTTTCGAACAGTAATTCGTATTTTCTGAACCACATATCGAACGTAAAACCGTCGTCCGGGTCGTAAGTGAATTCCGTGATCCTGTCCTCCAGCCACTTCCTTCTGTCATAGTTTTCTGTCTGCTTCCAGTCCTGCATTCCTGCGAGAAGAGCCATAAAACGGGCTTGCTGTGCTTCCAACAATTTCTGCATCTGTTCTTCACTGATCATTTTCTGTGTTCACCTGCGTCGCCACTTGTTATATCCCCAATTAGTATAACGCCAGTTCTGTGCGAAATAGAAGACAGACAGGATAGGAGAGAACAGCTTTACTGCGTCAGTCACTCTGTGTACATCAACTCTTAATCCTTCCGTCCGTGGCTTCGTATTTAAGGGTTCAGCCCTTGTCTGGTTTGCGTGTTCCTACTGGTCCAGTCCTGAGCGCCCGCATGGGCAGGCCCTCGCGTGTTGCTGGCCCCTGGAGGTCGCGCATGACTCAGCGGCGTGCTAATGTCTGGCTCGCATGCGGGCTTCCTAGCCGAGGATGTCCGGCGAGTTTGCGGTTCTTTGTCAGGCGCGACCCCCGGACGACAGAAACGGTGCGTCGTGTTCTGGGCCGTCCTAACACATATGGAGCCTATCCTCCTCATCTAGTATAACAGTCTCTGATGTGACATCGTGTGAACGCCTTTTGAAAATCAATGATATCAATGTGAACCGCGTCTCTGTCCTCGGGAGCATGGGTCCTGATCTGGTGAGATTGCAGCAAGTCTGTCGTGCCGGAATATCCCTTCCGGAACCTGTGTTGACAGTTCGGTAATAAGTTGTTAACTTCTAGGAATCGCACAAATTCTTTCTTCGTGATCCTCTTCATAACTTTGCTGAGAATGCATAGCAAGCTTATGGGCCTGTAATGCCTCGCTGACACCCAAATACCGTCTTAATATAGAGGAGATCTATGCACTCGCTTCCAATCATCAGGGAGTGCTCTGGTGTAAAATGACATTTGAAAGATTATTCGCGGAGATATAGAAAGCCTACTGCGAAATTCTTTGAGAGGTTTGGATGCTGACTCATCTGGTCCTGAAGATTTCGGCTCGTTTAATGTCTCTAAATTTTTAGGATAAGATCTTCAGTAAAAAGTACATTGATTATGCTCGGGGTCCGCAGAACTTCTGCGAGAGTGGAAAAATTTTTTGCATGTGGTGAATGGTGGGAAACATGACATCACGCTTTTAGAAGATATACCATTGCACGACGAAAATATTAGGTGATTTCTAAGAGAAAGAAAATGCAATCGCTGGAACAAGAGGTTCATTGACCCGGCTTTTTGAGTTCTTACTCTAACCCATCGTCAGATTAAGTCAAATATAAGGGTGATGGAGACACAAGGAGTGCAGTATTTCTAGACCACAGGCTCCGCGTAACCGCATGCCTTATATAACTGGCGGCTCCCGCATTCGTCGTTGGGGGGTCGTAATTGTGGGTTCTTGACGCAATTATCACTCAGCAATTTGACTCATTGTCATTAGATCTGCTTGTGATCCGCGTCCACCGACATGACTGATCATTCTACCCAGACTAAGTCTCAGTACGGATAATGAGGCCGGGAGGTCACTGCACCTGTCGATCGACTGAGGGCCAGAGAGCCATGACACGGTTGTCATCTCTTGTGAAAATTCCTCCCCGTCATATTTGGAAAGAAAGTCTGTGGCAACTCCCTTTGGCTGTCTGGACCAAGGAAATATTTCAAAGAAAAGTTAAATCATCATCTTACCAATCACAGGCTTCACTAACATCCGAGCGAGTCAAGACATTAACAGTTCTAAGATGCACGTCGGAAATACTACTGTTTAAATGTTAACTAAGGATTGAGCGAAGTGGACCGAACGGCATCATAAAATCAACACATTTATGCAACGCGACTAAGGTGAGTGGCTTAGCAATAAGACGGTTTTTAGTGACCGGTTGTGTTTTGCAAACGGGATTTACCAAAGTAAAATGTAAGTACAGGGACAGAGAGACTCCGACGACCGGCGA